CTGGAGTGCAGTGGCCGGATCTCGGCTCACTGCAAGCTCCGCCTCCCAGGTTCACGCCATTCTCCTGCCTCAGCCTCCGAGTAGCTGGGACTACAGGCGCCCGCCACCTCGCCCCGCTAGTTTTTTGTATTTTTAGTAGAGACGGGGTTTCACCATGTTAGCCAGGATGGTCTCGATCTCCTGACCTCGTCATCCACCCGCCTCGGCCTCCCAAAGTGCTGGGATTACAGGCTTGAGCCACCGCGCCCGGCAAGAATGACGTTTTTCTTAAAAGAGCTTCCAGCATTGTCAGAGTCCTTCAAGAGTATATTTCATTATCAGAGCAGAAATCTAATGTTTCTAAAAACAACCCTAAAAATCAGCCACATGTCCTTCTTAAGTCTGAGGTTGGTCCCCCTGCCCTGCTCATGCTGGCACTGAAGGAAAAGAAAGTGATGTGCTTTAGCTTGGCCATCTATAAAATAAGAATAGCCATATTATTAAACAATCTCGATAGCCTTTGAAGCACACTTTAGGATGAGGATTTTTTTTTTTTTTCTGAGACAACGTGCTGACAAAGTTATGGCAATAGGTCAATGTGTGTGGTTCTAGATAAGTCCCTGGAGAGAATACAAGGGCAGTGTAGGGAAAAGGAGCCTGGGCCAGGCACAGTGGCTCACAATTGTAACCCCAGCACTTTGGGAGGCCAAGATGAGTGGATCACTTGAGGCAAGAAGTACAAGACCACCTTAGCCAACATGGTGAGACCCCATCCCTACTAAAAGTACAAAAATTAGCCAGGTATGGTAGTGTATACCTGTAATCCCAGCTACTCAGGAGGTTGAGGCATGAGAATTGCTTGAACCCAGGAGGCGAGGTTGCAGTGAGCTGAGATTGCATCACTGCAGTCTAGCCTGGGCGACAGAGTGGGACTGTCTCAAAAAAAACCAAAAAACAAAAAACAAAAAAACCAAAACACACACACACACACAAAAGAGTGAATGTGAGAGAGAGAGAGAGAAAGATGGTACAATTCAGCCCTCCATTTGGAAGAAATAACCAACATGCAGTGGGTAAAGTGATTTGCCCAGGGCCAAACAGAGTCAAGATGAAACCTCCTGATTCAATGCTCCTGCCCCAGCTGCCCTGGAATCTATAATCCACCAGGTGGCTTTACAGGATGTTACAATTCTGTTAAACAAGTTGAGGCTGTGGGTATGACTCTGGGAAACCCCAGGCTAAAAATGGCACAGCCTGTAGCTATTTGTATCTGATGCCATCAGCAAGTGGAGGTAGGAGATGCCTGTCTCAACACACCAAGATTCACTTTACTAAGAAATGTGCTATCAGTAAAACACATAGAGGGCATTACCCACAAGGCAAAAAGTTCTGATTCTCTTCTGCTATAAGATGTTCAAACACATAATGAATCATATACGTGCTCAAGCCTGGTTAACTGGAACCCACTTAGCTCAATCAAAGGCAGTAGCACTTAAAAGATGCATCCAACAGCAATATGATGTTAGCCACCTAGGTAATTTAAAAATGTCTAGTGGTCACTGAAAAAGTAAAAGAGAAACAGGTAAAATTAACTTTAAAATCTTGTCTAACCTAATATATTCAAAACGTTATCACTGCAAATAAGTAATCAATGTAAAAATTGAGATTTCATGCTAAATTATATTCTCTTAGGGATCCTTCTTTTTTTTTTGAGATGGAGTTTCACTCTTGTTGCCTAGGCTGGAGTGCAATGGAGTAATCTCGGCTCACTGTAACCTCTCCCTCCCAGGTTCAAGCGATTCTCCTGCCTCAGGCTCCCGAGTAGCTGGGATTATAGGTGCTCACCACCACACCTGGCTAATTTTTTTTTGTATTTTTAGTAAAGACGGGGTTTCACCATGTTGATGAACTCCTGACCTCAGGTGATCTGCCTGCCTCAGCCTCCCCAAAATGTTGGGATTACAGGCGTGAGCCACCGCGCCCTACCAGGGATCCTTCTTTTAACAGATTCTTTTCTCCTGCTGTTGTAAAGTAGTATCAACTAGTGGACCCTCCAGCCAGTCCGCCCACACTCTCAATAATGGCACTCAGTTATTCAGAAGGTTAACACATGCAAGATCCCACAAAAGGCACTTGTTAGAGACTTTGAACTTCCAAGGAAACATTAAGAAGGCAGGTTATCCATATGTCTCATAAACAGAAAAATACTAGAAGATCTTAAGGTTACCTGGCCAAGATGCGCTAAGACAGAATGAAACCAGATCTGATGGCAATACCTGTTCTCTTTCTAGTCTCCATCTTCTGACCCAACTGCTTTCTTGAAAGAGCCAGTATGTGAGTAAAAGATCTGGGAAATGCAACAGCATATAGTTATATCATTTAACTAACAAATTAACCCAAGGCTCAGTGCCCAATTCGGACTTTACAGTATCGTCTATAATACTTCATAAATCTGGATCATCCTGAATATGGAGTTTTGTATTCTGCTCTATTTAGCAATCATATTATAATCATTTTCTTAAACTATTACCTCCAAACACATGGACGTTGACAGCCATTGAGATTATGATCAAGATGTTTCCAAAATACAAACTCCAGCCTATCCCTCTATTCAAATGACTATGTTCAAGCCCTCAAAAAATACTGACAGAGCAAAGATGGGCTAGGAACTGTGGGCGTTGGTGATATGGTGCAAACAGGGCAGACAGGGCCTCTTATCTCACATGGCTTATATTCTAGAGGGAAACAGGTCATAAATACATAGTGTCAGGTATAAATACATGATAAGGACATAACTCAGGGTGAGAGACATGTAACCACTTTAGTCTAAACCCATTATTTATTAGGTTGAACCACATGAAACTGCTGATATTCAACCATTTCTGACCAATGGGATGGGCAATTTCAAAACAGTTTCATTCCGTCAGGAAACAACCAAGAATGCTTCTGATGGACCAGAAATTATAATGAATCCCTGAAAGGCAGAAGACACAGTGGCCTGGACTGGACAACCATCTCTCCCACAGCAGAAGCTCTAGGAGAGGGCTGTGAGTGCCGTAAGCTCAGAGATAACTGACGGGAGGAGCAGCATGGACTGAGGTGGTAGGCAGGGTGATTGGATGGGGGACTGTGGAAGGATCCCCAAATGATTTAACTCTGTGCTACTCCCCACTCTCCACCCAGCCCAGGAGGCTCCTGTCTTCATCCAGAGCATTTTGAGAGGCAATTATTTCTACTAGGAATAGGGGAGGGGGTGGCCCTAGTACAGCGGCCCCCAACCTTTTTGGCACCATGTAAGGAAACTAACTGAAAGAAAGTTCCAAAAACACAACCTGATTAAAAAAGTAGGCAAAGGACTTGAATAGACATTCCTCAAAAGAAGACACATAAATGGACAACAGCTGTATGAAAAATGCTCAACATCACTAGTCATTAGGAAAATGCAAATAAAAACCACAATAAGGTATCACCTCACACCTGTTTGAATGGCTTTTTTTTTTGCTGTCATCCAGGCTGGAGTGCAGTGGTGCATTCATGAATCATTCTAGCCTTGACCTCCTAGGCTCAAGCGATCCGCCCACCTCAGTCTCCTAAGTAGCTGGGACAACAGGTGTATACCAACACACCTGGCTAATTTTTGTTTTATTTTTTATAGAGACAAGGTCCCATTATGTTGCCCAAGCTGGTTTCAAACTCCTGGGCTCAAGCTATCCTCTTGCTTCAGCCTCTCGAAGTGCTAGGATTACAGTTGTGAACCACTGTGCCAGGCCACAAATGACCTTTATCGAAAAGACAAAACATAGTAAGTGTTGATGAGGATGTGACAAAAACAGAACCTTTGTATACTGCTGGTAGGAATATAAATAGAGCCATTACTAAAATTCCCCAAAAAACTAAAAACATCAACTACCACATGATCCAACAATCCCATCTCAGGGTGTATAAGGAAATGAAATTTTATGTCAAGAAAGACATCAGCCCTTCTATGGTCCCTGAAGCATTATTCACAATAGCCAAGACATGGAAGCATCATAAATGTCCAACAACAGATGGACAGATAAAGAAGAGGTGGTCTATATACACAACGAAATACCATTTAGCCTTAAAAGAGAAGGCAATTCTGTCAATTGCCACAACATGGGTGAACCTGCAGGACATTATGTTAAGTGAAATAAACCATTCACAGAAAGACAAATACTGCATGATCTCACGTATATGTGGAATCTAACTAAGTCAAACTCATGGAAGTAAAGAGTAGAAAGGTTACCAGGGGCTGGGGTTTTGGGAGATGTTGATCAAAGCACAAAATTTTAGTTAGATAGGAGGAATAAGTTTTTGAGATTATACTGCAGGGTGATTATAACTAATGACAACGTATTATGTATTTCAAAATTGTTAAAGTAAAAATCAAATGTTCTCAGCACCAAAGATGATATGTGGGGTAATATGTTAATTAGCTTTGCTAATCATTGTACAATGTATACATGTATCAAAACATAATGTTATACCTCATATATACATTTATCATTTGTCAATTAAAATTCAAAAACAAAAACTCACAATGAAAAGCTTAAAGCAGGCTGGGTGCGGTGGCTCATGCCTGTAATCCCAGCACTTTGCACTTTGGGAGGTCGAGGTAAGTGATTTCCTGAGGTCAGGAGTTCAACACCAGCCTGACCAATATGGTGAAACTCCATCTCTACTAAAAACACAAAAATTAGCTGGGCATTATGGCAGGCACCTGTAGTCCCAGCTACTGGGGAGGCTAAGACAGAAGAATTGCTTGAACCTGGGAGGCGGAGGTTGCAGTGAGCCGAGTTCATGCCATTGCACTCCAGCCTGGGTGATGAGTGAGGCTCTGTCCTCCTGCCCCCCCAAAAAAAAAGAAAAAAAAAAATGGCAAGAAAGTCTGTGGCCCTGCCCTCCCGATTTCCCTGCTGGTTCCCAAACATCGTCCATTTGAGCTGGAAATGACCAGCTACAAGCTACAATAGCCTAAAGCATTTTGTATGACTGCTTACCTGTCAATGAATTGATCAATAATGACAATATCACCGGGCTGAATCTCCTCCCTCAAGGAGCCACAGGCTGTGGTCACTATGACATGTGTACAGCCCTCTTCCTTCAAAGCCCAGATGTTCGCCTGGTAGTTGACCTTTGAAGGCATGATGGTGTGCTGCCTTCCATGCCTAAGGAAGGACAGAAGAAATCGTCAACCCGTGATGAACACACCACCAACTGTTTTCTCCTAGAGTCCAGAAAAAATTAAGTGATTCTCTAGCAATGACCACAGACTAACACAGGGGGTCTCCTAGAACCCACTCCAGTGACCAACTAAAACTAAAATTTAGGTTCCCTGGATTCTGAGAAGCCACTTCTGTTTCAAAAATGTAGACTGGCAGACAGAGCGTAGTGTGGTTCCCACTGTCATGCTCTGTATAAAGTGTCAGTGAACCTGGGACTTGCATCCGGCCATTAGAAAATGGCAAATGGGCTATAAGTCACTCCCATGATTAGGCTCTACCTTGCAAGCATGCACGTGAGATTCTCCTACTGGCCTCCTGCATGCTTGCAATGTACAGCCTAGCCATGGAGGTGACTTCTAGCACCTTTGCCATACCCTAATAGCAAGCAGCAAGCTGCTGCCAAATGAACAGCCTGTGGAGCAGGCCACACGACGGAATGTGAACCACCTCTAGGAGCCAAAGGCCTCTGCCCTGTAACTTCTAGGAAGTGAATTCTCCTACAACCACATGAGCTTGAACAAGGACCTCAAGCTCCAGATGGGAACTCAGCCCTTGAATATGCCTTGTGGGGCCTTGTGCAACCGCAAGCAGAGGACCTGCTAAGCTGTGCCAGACTTCTGACCAACAGGAACCAGGAGATCATGTATGCTCTTTTAAGCTGCTAAATTTGTAGTAATTTGTTACACAACAGTAGAGAACTCATACATATATCTTGACTAATTTCTAACAATGGGATAAAAATGACTTGGCCTCCTCTGTAATACGGAGCAGCACCAGCCTCCTTAAGGAAACAACAGCACAGACACAAGTAACCCACTTCAGAAGCCCTAAGCCCACTCTTCACAGATATATAACTACTACTAGCAAGAGGTCATTAATGATGGATTGTTTTTCTTTATCTTTATAAGAAAGGGGAAAAAATGAACAAAACATTTCTTCTTGCATTTAGAACTAAAATCAGAGCTTTGATTTTAGTCATCTGATCTACTTTCCCAATCTAAGGGGCAAGGCCATGAGATCTTTGATCTCCTAAGTCAATATAACTTAACCAAAAATGAAACATTGTAAATAAAGGTTACTAAGATGTTCTGATTCTGTCAACATATAAAAACTCATACCTGTATCTTTACTCTTTCCAGAATTTAAGTTTAAATTATCCTTTAGTAGTAACATCCAAAAAGCTTAAAATACCATACCTTGCAAGAAGGACGCAATCAACATTTTTTATCTTCCCCAAAATTAAGGCATCAGATGGCTGCATGCAATGAAAAAATGTCAATTAATTCAGTGATTTAAAAACAGGTATGTAAATTAAAATTATTCAACCACAACAGTACTCATGGAATACGAAGAGTCTGAGGATACAACTTAGAGAAGAGGCAAGATCTGATCATCAATATAATCATTTAATCAATCACTTATTGATCCCTCTTGCAAGCACAGATTCACAGGACTCAAGGTTACCATGAGTACCTGTGTAGGTACCATTTAGTTAGATCTATTTGTAACGAGTACCCCAGGGGACTATGATGGTAGACTGGTCAAACTTAGATGTGTCAAGATTATTGGGCAGGTTCAAGAACAGGTATGAGGGTGAAAGGCAGAAAGGACAAGAAGTCACTGTCATGACACTAAGAACTCAGCACTGGAAATGTCTGCTTGTGTTAACCAGGTCTAAGATGATCCTGGAAATGACTTGAGGTAACAAAGGCTGGAAAGACCCTTAGAACCAAGGGGTTTAAGAAAATGAACCAAGATGACTGCAGGACTGGGAGCACACAAGGTCAACCTAAGAATTTAGCTGAAAAGGAGGGTTTGGTTGGGACAGTCAGATAGAGAGATCTTACAGAAGGACCAGAGGACATAGCAATATGAAATTAGGAGAATGCAGACACCCTCACCCGGGCATAGGCTAAGTGACACGGGATTGGAGAACAAGCAACCTCTCCTATAAAAGGAGGAACGTTTTATTTCTAGCTCAGTTATGCATTCAACTAACATGAGGTATGTTCTCATTCCCCAAAACAGTTCTTTTCACTCAAATGCCACTTCATAATAATTCATCCTATTAGTCATCGGCCTGTCCCCTAATTAGTGTGGTGTGACCTATTGGCCCCATATTAGGTGATTTGAATGTAGATTTGAAAAGTACAGTCTGGAATGAGTCTGTGGTCTGAAATGAGTATCCGATTTCTAGCAACAGAATTTGAGAAGTGATGTACATATCCAGTAGCCATTTTCTCAAAACATCAAAGTCTGAGGCATCCGTCAGATACCTTCTCAGCTGATGGAACCCAACAGCAGAACTTCTGGCCCTCTCTGCTGTGAGCAGACAGCCCTGGGCTGCCAAAACAAAAGCAATTTTTTTTTTAAATTTAAAAATCAAGCCAGCAAGGAGAAATGAAAAAACTAACATGTCTCCACTAATTGGACATATTAACCTTGCCAAATGGAGTATCCACATATTTTTCAGTTCTTCCTTCTAAAATTTCTGGATCATCCAGGCCTGTTCCACCAATTATTCCAATCTAAGAGAGAAAAAGACAGAGAAGATTATTGTATTTGGTAATTTTTATTAGAAATAAAATTCTAAGCAAATTCATTTATTCATATGCTCTTCTCCATTCCTGCCAAGCCCTATTTTTTTGAAATCTGAAAATTACTGAACAACAATCCACAAATATTTCAACGCCTTCTATAAAAACCAACAAATATTTGAAGGCCTTCTATAGTCTAGAAATAACCAAAATGTAGGGTACCTTTTTGGACTACATCACATTTACTTCTGACTGTCTAAATTACAAGTCAGCACAGACAGGTACTTTAACCAACTCAAGTTAGAAAGTCAAACCTAAAAGTAGGCAAATATGGTAGTGGAAAGTACCTTCTAATCAATTTTGTTTCTCTGTCAAATGGACTACAGAGTAAAGAATGTCCAGAAGACTGCTGCGATATAAAATATTAGGTATTCCATTTGGTAGTGATTTCTCCTCACTGTTCTATTTGATAAAGAAATGAGAGATTATCTTTCCCACGCCATTAGAATCACAGAGCTAGGAGAGAATGCAGACAGAGCAGACTGAAATAGCATGAAAAGTTACCCGCATATACATTTATGAAAACAATCATTCATATATGTATGCAAATTCGTATTTACATATTGTAGATATACATATAGGATACTCATGTATACTACTCAGTAAATACATTTATGTAAACATAAATAAGTAATTCAAAAGGTAGTTATAAGTTTTTTTTAAGTTCATGAATTGTATTGCATTTTTCAGAGATTATCTTGAAAGTCCTTGTCTGAGTTAAAGAAACCTGAGAGTTGATCTAATTTGATGATTAAGAAACAGAAACAAGAACAATTATAAAAATAAATAAATACTAACTAAACTGTTAAAACTAAAAATTAAGTAACAAATCATTAGGGAAATTTCCTTGAGCTGGTACTTCCTAAAGGACAAAGTAAATAGTGCCAGGCTAACTTTATAGAAACCTAATTAATGCGAAGTGACCTGATCATTGTTGTTTTTCAATGAAAAGCTTTAAATCTATTGTCACTTGGGTAACTAAATAAATTAGGCCTCAAGAAAAAATTCCAGAGTTAAGAATTCAGTGAACATCTGAATTAAATAATTTTCAGGTCAGGTTACACAAGTTGAGTCCTATCAACACGTAAAAAAATGGTTACCTTTCTGCCTCAGTTTCCTGAAAAAAACAACAAAAAAACAAAAGCAACAACAACAAAAAACAAACAAGAAGATAAGGACAATTTAGTGAAGTTTTTACTGAAGAACTCTGCCTGTTTCCCGTGACATGGTTACATAATTTGTGACTGTCCACCACAATTTCCTTAAGTGGCAAAGCCAGGTTTTGATGTTGGCGCCATCTTGTGGAGGTATATTATTAAAACCACAACAGGTTAACGTACTTTATGTCAATGAACTTAACATTATTGTTAAAGGGTAACCAGTATAATAGCTTTCAAATCAACAGAAGTGTTCACTTAAGTCAATAAATTTAAATAACGGCACTTCAACAGAAAATAACAAAAATTCATACTGTTTTAGGAAATCCCAACCCTTCCTTAGCCTGGCTTCTCCAACTTATCCTTCATTCCATGGACCTCTGAAGCACCACAGGTCATGAGGAAGCTAAGAAACCATCCAGCTCCCATCCTCACCTGGGACACAGATATGAACTGCTGACTCTGAAATTACTCTCGGCCAACTCCCTGGGATTCAGTTACTAGATTTTAACTTATCACTACTTTGACCTGGCCGTCTCTGGGTGTTCCCTGAGCCATGGCATCTCAAATTCTGGATTCAACACTGGATGCTCGGGATCAAATACACAAATCAAGTTGGGCTTTGTTTGGAGCCACCCTCTGAGTTTACGTGAACTTGCCCAGCATTGTAGCAGTTGTTGAGAAATGCTAACCAGGTGTCCTGCTGAAATTCAGAGCCCCTGAGCTCACTCTCAGCAGCCCCAAGCTTCAGTCTGCACCACCTGACTGCATAATGACTCTGCACTAGGTAGCTGGCAACTCAGCCCTCAGCAAGGAACGTGTAGTAGCCCTGGACATGAAAGCAAGAGTGGCTACTGCGCTGGAATGATCTGCTGGCAAGCCCATCCATTCACTTAACTAGGTCCAGTTGTTTATGGAAACCTACATTGTGCGAGGGATACAGGGACAAGCGTAGCAACTGAGTCACGCCATCCCAGGAAACTGGACCTCTAAGATGGAGGCCAGCAGGGCCAAGATGTGGCCAATGTCGCCACCTGCTGGCTCCACAGCAAAGTACAACTGGGATGAAGTACCCAAGCACTGATGGCCCAATGCTATCTACATTCCCTAGAGTCTCTAAGTTTGTGTCAACTCAATACTGCCTTAGTAATAAAGTAACTGTGTCTGTGGACTTACATGTTATAGGCACTGTGCTAAGTGCTTCAGTGGTCTCACCTTATTTCATCATCACGACCATAAGATGGGCCCTATAGAATGCTACCCATTTAACAAACGAAGAAAGAGAAGCATAAAAACTAAAAACATCCAAGAGCAAATCATAAGGAGCAAAGCTGGGATAGAAATCCAGGTCTTTCAAGCTTAACCACTATGATCTGCCCTCTCCCAATATCCCCTGGAGTCCTTCATAACATTACACCTTATTAGAAAAGTTTTTTTGGTCTCCATGTTATGAGGCAACATGCTCAGAGAGGTCAAGTTCATGACGAAGGTCACAGAACAAGCACAGAAACAGTGACTCCAGGTATCTGAGTGAATCGTCTCAGAGGGGAGGAAAACTCTCAATGACTTCATCCACGCTCAGGAAACAATGACAAGACCCTGCCAGGCCTCCTGGGCCGGAAGCGTCAGTCCCCAGTTCAGTTAATTCTAGACTGTGTAAGAAATGTGTTCAAGACCTGAGATGGAATTTCTGCCCAGCCAGGACTTCTTTATTACACAAGATAGAGTTCTGAAATATGGAGTCAATCAAGGTCCTTGAAAGATTTTAAAAGCTAGTGGCTCATGCCACACTTTTCCACTGACTGACCATCAAACCAAACTTCTCAAAACTAGACTTTCTGCATTGATAATAAAGCTCTCTGTGACATCTGCTTCAGAACCCTAAAGCTGCCCACACCTACCTACAGTGACTTGAACCACCTGGTGTCTGCAACCATGAGTGGCGTCACCATCTGTCTGCACTTCCCTGGCCAACTCAATGCTGACTTGCAGAAGCTGGCCGTGAACATGGTCCTATTCCCCCACTTGCACTTCATGTTTGGTTTCGCCCTGCCCACCAGCCAGGACAACCAGCAGTACCAGGCCCTGATGGTGCATGAGCCCACCTGGCAGATGTTTGATGCCAAGAACATGATGGCTGCCTGCAACCTCTGCCATGGCTGCTACCTAATGGCGGCTGCCATATTCAGGGGTCACATGTCCATGAAGGAGGTGGACAGGCAAATGCTTAATGCCCAAAACATGACAGCAGCTACTTTGTTGGTTGGATCCCCCAAGATATAAAAACAGCTGTATGGACTTCCCACCCTGGGGGCTAAAGATGTCTGCCACCTTCACTGGCAACAACACTGCTATTTAGGATCTGATCAAGTCCATCTCAGAGCAGTTCACAGGTGTGTTTCGGTGCAAAGCTTTCCTGTACTGGTACACGGGCGAGGGCATGGACGAGATGGAATTCACTGAGGCTGAGAGCAACATGAACGACCGGGTGTCTGAATACCAGCAGTAGCAGGAGGCCACGGATGAGGAGGAAGAAGAGTTTGAGTGAGCCAAGGAAGAAGTAGGTGGCCTAAAGCCTTCTGTTACTGTGTAAAGGGTGGAAGTGATGTGAACCCTTTATTCACACACAATCTGTTCTATGACAGCCATGTCTTACTGTATGTGCACTTGCTGTTCTTTGTGTCTTGACATCACATGTTCTAAAGACACCCCAAAGAAAGCATTTTCATAGTGAAAAAAAAAATTTTGTTCAAGAGCAAATCAATCCAAGGGTCTGACTTCTCTAAGACTGTGAAAGCATTTATCCAAATACCAGCTCACCTGCTCAGAACGGTTACTTCCAGCAATGTGGAAAGGGTGCATACTAGCCCCTACTCTGTGTCTATTTCCACTAGTACCTGGCTACAAGAGATTTTACCAACCCTTCTTCGTCCCAGAAACCATTCACCATCACTTTGAGGCCTGGGCGCACTGCCGTAAGGAACCCAGCACTCTATAATGGCATTCTCAAAATACCATGACCCCAAGCATTTGAGACCAGCTCATGACAGGGAGATGGGCTCCCTCTGAGTGCCTCAAGCTTATGATGAGGTAAATGAGCCAGAGCCGGAGCTGGCACAGCCCGATCTGAGCATTGCAGTCCTTCAGATCTGGTTGCCATAACAATTTTGGCAAGCACAGCAGACAGAAGCCCTCATTATTAGGCTGACACGGCTTTGAGGCCTGTCAGGGCCTTGCAAAATCCCGAAGCCTAGCTGTATGGGAGGGAGCAACCAACTGTCTCAGGCTGGGAGGACTGTTAAAAACCTGCAATAGGGTCCACAGGGATAGCTGGGGGCTTCATCTCAGAAAAGATATCCCCTCTGTAGGCCACCCTTGTAGGTAATGGTTATGGATGGAACTGTGTCTCCCCTAAGTTCATATGTTGAAGTTCCAACTCTCAGTACCTCAGAATGTGACTGTATTTGCAGTTTTTAAAGACGTAATTCAGATCAAATGAGGTCACTGGGATGGGCCCTAATACAGTATAGCTCATGCTATGGTTTGAATGTGGTCATCTTCAAAACTCATGTTGAGGCTTGTTCCCCAAATACAGTGATGCTGGGAGGTAATACCTTTAAGAGGAGTTTGAGTCATAAGCCGCGGTAATAATCTGCCCCCATTAAGGGATGAATGCAGTCCCAGGGGAGGGTGTTCTTGCTCTCATTGGGTTGGATTAGTTCCAGTAAGAGTGGGTTGTTATGAAGCCAAGTTTGTCTCTCTCTTTTTTGTGTT